TGCTTTGCGGCTGGCATCTCACAAAGTAGCCGTGGTCACGTGTCAGAGCATGAGTGTTTAGCTCGCTGACGGTTGTGTATCATGATTTTACATGCTGTACGGCCTCTGATGTATATGATGTAAAGTCTCTCTCTGCTTTCGTCGCCCTTTTGTTTACTTGACACTAACTAAAACGACAACGACATACTGCGAGGGCGCGGAGAATAAATTACCAGTCCTGCGACTAGAACCTCGTATTTGGAAATCTTGACATACATGTCGCGTACACCATGATTTACAAGGCGTGGTCTTCGGTGATCTCGGGGACATATTAACCTTAATACATTTCAATAATGGTATGCCTCACATGAGTGCATGACGAACATATAGAGCAGGTCGTAACACATGAATCACTACCCACACGTCTAAAAAGTAACCATTTACATTACCGGAGCTACGGGCTGTCGTGGTCCTTAGGTAAAATTTATGTGCAACAAAACTTGTTTGACATTGCATGAGTGTCTTGCACACATGAACTACAGGTAAGAACATGAAAATGTTTGATTGGAATGATATGCACCATGATTTACATTATACAATCTTAGTGGTCTCACAGCCCGTCTACTACTTGCGCATACGACAAAGTTTCATGGCCCCATCAGGGTACAGGTGACAAATATGAGACAAAATTAAAAAATGGTAAACATAGATTTTCGTTTACTGGTTGCTAATCAATGTCAGTGCAGAAACTTGCGTTTGCATACGTGGCAGTTTCTACATAAATATTATCGTGTTCTCACAGTTCGACAGTTTATTATAAAAAGAAATAAAAAAGGCACCAAAAATCTCGTTTCGACCCTACCTGTGGGGCGAAAAGAAAAAGGACAAACTTCATCTCTTCAGTTGTTGCAGTGGAATCAGTTGAAATTTACTCCGTGGGCCCTCGCGTGGTCGTCATAAGCCCAGTTCTTACACGCTACGGATTGAATCTAGCCATATTGCGGTGCTCTGTTGCTCCAAAGTTTGTTGCGGATAAAGCACCGTGCTTCTTTCTTTGTGCAAATCGTGTCTTTAGTAGAACGCTTGCACTTCATTAGCATATTTAGAGATTGAAAGCTGTATATATTTTCACGCATTTTTTCGCCCTTTTTTTGGCCGTTTCCATACAGAACTTCACCGGCGCTTTCTGTTTTTCAACTGTGTCAACCGTGCTTTTGAAGTCGATGAATTTCAGAATTTCGAAAGCTTGTTTTTTTTTTTAGATTTCGCTTTGAGAACACTCTCACTAAAACTCTATTTCGAATTGTTTGTGAACGGCTTGAGAAATAGACATTCTTTCAATTTTTCAAGCGCGTTTTGAGAGCACCCTTGGGAACGCAGAACAACCTCAATGCAGCCCGAATGGAGCGTTGTCTGTCCTCAACAGCTATCAGTGCTTTTTGTTTTCGTTTTCCTCCCACGAAGCTCAAAATCATATTCTCTGCTATGCCCGAGTCCTTCTAAACAATTAAACTGTATATTGAGTTTAACTAAATGGCTCAATTTATAAGACACTGTCTAAGGCAATTTGATGCTTTTGTGTCACGCTTTGCCCCTCTGAGATGCCTGAAATATCAATAAATTTCACAAATACACTTTGGTCCCACGCCCTCCCGCGGCGGTTTAGTGGCTAAAGTACTCAGCTGCTGACCCACAGGTCGCAGGATCAAATCCCGGCTGCGGCAGCTGAATTTTCGATGGAGGCGAAAATACTGTAGGCCCATGTGCTCAAATTTTAGTGCACGGTAAAGAACCCCAGGTTGTCGAAATTTGCGGAGCCCTGCACTACGGCGTCTCTTATAAGCAAACGTCGTTATTGGGACGGTAAACATTCCATATCAATCCATAAATTTTAGTCCCAGGCACCAATTGAATAAAACTTTTGGTCGTAAGCAAGTAAAAATGTGAAGTAACAAAGTACTTAGCTCCTTGTACTGACGCCGGAGAGCCTACATGCATGGATCCGAAACTTTATTTCAACTGAATTTCACCCTCTTCATTGCAGAATATTTAATAGCACAAAGGTTAGGCACAGACGAAAATAGGGACACGCCCGTTTTCGATGGGTCGCTAACACACCGACACCAGCCGCGTAATATTTTCTTCGCGAACGCTGCAAGCCATCATCAATCAATCAATCAATCAATCAGTTTATTATCATGTCATAAAAAGATGTTACAGAAAATGAAATATACAGACGAGGGTCCCAAAGTACACGCCTGCAACGGGACCCTCGGTGATGATTACAAATAATAAAAGCACAAGCAGCTGTTAGAATCGTAGAAACAAGAATATACAAAGCAGAATGAAAACAAAAAGGCATGGAATCAAAAAACAAATAATACAGCTTAAAACAACACAAAGAAGATAGATCAACTATTTAACAGGTATTCTTTTAATGAGTTTTACTCCTTTACGCTTTGCACTAATAATTTTTACACTTGAAATAATAGACAAGTACCACCACTTTTCGCTGAAAAATACAAAGTACTCTTTATCAGCACCAGGGGTCAGCAAAGTGATAATGTCGCGTTTTTCACCATGTTTTCTTTTACCCCTTTCTACCTGATAACAATCAGGAATAACTCGGCTTGCGCGCAATATGCATTACTATTCATTTTTTATCCCAGTATATATCTAGAAGTTACATGCATGCATGCATGAATGCAAGACATACGGCGCTATGTATCAGGGCATGTCGTGACAGGATTGCCTCGATTCTTCGCAAAACCAAGCCACACACTGTAAGAAGCACCTCTCTGACCGGTTCCAGTTACATCGATTCCTAAAATACTTTGGATGTGCCAGCTTCCTGACACTAACCGAGCGGTATGGTTAACCAGATTCAACGCGGCTTCTGCACTTACTCAGCTTTACAACCTCCACCAAGCAGGTGCCTAGTGGTGGAAATTTTGCCTTCTTTGCATCCAAGCTTCACCTAACAGACAAGCACACTCTATACGCATCTAAGCATACTTGTTTAGATGTACCTTCTACTATTTTATCCCTATCTCTGGAAGCTCAATAAAAGTGTTGTGTGTGTTTTGTAGACAAAACTTCATAAATTTAAGAAACTCCGAACGTGCTCGCAGTATCGGTGCGAATGAAATTCCTAAAAGCTCCATCTTATCAAGCCCAGCACGGGCCGTCCCACATCTGTCCTCTAATCATGACAAAATGAAGAGCTGAAGTCTTCATTTATAGATCGGAAGTGAAATACCTACCCCGCCCAGGATTATCTCTAGAGTAGGCGTAAGGAGGCACTCACTGTGCAACAGGTTTAACTAATGCGTCCAGAATCACAAAATCAAAGCGAAAACCGTGACCGCAAGCTTAACGAGTGAACATTGTGCTTATTCGTATAACTTCGAAAGCATAGCGCCAAAAAAAAAAACACAGACAAAAGAAAGAGACGTAGACAACAGGGGCGCAAGCTTCAAATCACGTTTATTTGGAAATACGCATGAATATACGGATATGAACTCAAAAACAGCAATATCACGCCTTTATCGCTTACAGAAAAAGTACTATCAAACATTATACAAAAACAAGAAATGTATTGTCAGGAACTATACAGGTAAACACGCATGTGTAACTGGAACGGAAAAACCTTACAGAATACTTTATAAAAGCCCCCTGAAAAAAAAATGGAAACTGAAAAACTTATTGCTCGAGCTTATCCTGGTGGCACTAAACAAACATGTTCATTAGGAACGAAAATTCCTTATCATGAAGAAGTAAAGACGGTTCGCTCACGCGTTTAGCGCCATGTTACTGAATGATGCAGTCCTCAGCTATTTCATTGGTTACTTGCCCTCCGTGACGAAATAGCACAGCTGTTTGTTGAAACAGTGGAGCGAAGTCACACTGACGGCAACGTAATGCCAAGTGGGACGACGGTGTGCCTTTCAACTAGGTGTGGGGCTCGCGCAGACGGATACTAAGGCATCTTGGACCACGTAAACGTGTACCCGCGAGAAGGGGGTCTCGTACACCACCCCTTTTACACAAGACAGAAAACGAATGGCGTGTCTCACGGTATTCGTGTTATTTATGAATGTTTTACGTACTGCACAAATTTAATAATACAAACTTCATTTTTGTTTGATCACAATCATTCAAAACTATTCATGCCACAGACTCGCCGCGTGTCATATGCTAAAAAGTTTTGCTACGAGAGTTTTGCTTGAATGCACGAGCCGTCACTGCCTTGATGGGAGGGTACTCCAGAGGTTGTGATGTTTTTAGCTATTGATGTCTTAGTTTATCATTTTGTGAAATCCATATTTTTAATCATCGCACACCATCCCAATATTGTCATGTGTTTGTATTTATACCTTTCCCACGTAGTTCATTGCCCTGCTTTCTAGTATCCCCTATAGCACACCTGTCAATTACCACTTCATTGCACGTGCATCATAATTTGTCATTACGCTCTTTCACCGTAACCGACCATTACGCTACAGGACAGTGTAGTAGTAGTAGTAGTAGTAGCGGTAGTAGTAGTAGTAGTAGTAGTAGTAGTAGTTGTAGTTGTAGTTGTAATAATAATAATATTATAATACTAATATTAAATCTTGTCTATAGCGGTTGGTATTCAGCTTCTAGTTTCCCCTCTGGATTCGGGGTAAAGTGCAGGAAAGATGTGCCTTAATTGTCTCTGTGTAGTGTTTTCTGCATTCTATGCAGCGTGTGAATCTATCTTTGAGTGCTACTCAGAGGTGAAAGAAATATGCGTTATTTTCAAGCACTTCAAGCTTCGTTTCAAAGGCGCAATAAAAACAAAACGTGCACATGCTTTTATTAGTTATTATTTATTTTTATTTATTTATTTATTTAATATTTATTTATTTATCTATTCATTTATTATCTATAACCTGCACCATTCCTTCCAAAACAAACTCCCTCAGTGTTACCTTATTGCGCACTGCTTAAAAGATGGACAGTTGGGAAGAAGAACTAGATGGACACAGGCTACCAACTCACCCAAGAAAATACCCTTATAAACTCCATCAGATATTTTTATTTTTTATGAAGCAATTGCTTTGTCTCTATCGTGTCAAAAAAAGGTGGAGAGAGAATCACTTGTTTTTAATGGTCAGTTTCCCTACTTCACCGTTAAACTGAAGCTTCCTCCATTTGCTGGGGTTGTTTAGCATTTTTTTTATCCATCCCGTGTACAAGGCAACCCGAGTATAGGTTGCCGGGTAGCGTGGATTGCATTCGAACAATACACCATGCGAGACGACTCCCACTTGCGTCCAGCGTCCGTTCTTGTCCTTGAGCGTCATGGGCCCGCCGGAATCACCCTGTTTGTGAAAAAGCAAGAAAAGTAATATAAATTCATGGATGGATACTATGCGGTCTTGGGCACCTTGGTGTCACGAAAGCACTAGCGTGGTTTCATGTAACACCCTATCTAGGATCTAATCTTGCCATATCAATTATGTAGAGACTTTTGGCGGGTTATTTCACCCCTACCGTCACTGTTATGTTCCGTGTAATGTCTTAATTGATGCCCCCCCCCCCTCGCCCGGTTCGTATTTTCTACCCACGGCAACGAGGAGGAGTGTGCCGGAGGAGGAGTGTGCCGGAGGAGGAGTGCGCAACGGACTCTCATGAAATTCCTGCGAGACGGTGGCTTGTGCGACGTTTGGTGACGAACCGCTCTTATTCAGGATATGCGCAGGTGGAACAATTGCCGCCCATTTATAGGCCAGGCTCACCCCGCTTGTTGCAACAGCACCGCCGCCTAGTGCACATACTGAGCGAAGCTGCTTAGGTGTTTTGACTTTGCGATAAGTGGCGCAAATACGCCCACGTCGAGGTGAAGAGGAGTGGCTTGAGATGCGGGTATGGAATGCTCGCTTTTCGTGTCGACTGAATGAGGTGCATCTGGCGTCGCGAAATTCTGCTGCCCATGGCCGACTCGAACATCGCGCCCGACTTGAATACGTGTGCGTGTTTGCATGTTATCAACGCTGACAGAACGCATGACAAATGAGCGAATACTGTTCGGTTATTCGAACAGCTTCGGTCGACTGTCCGTCCTTTGTCATGCCTTGTGTACTGCTCCCGACAAAGGCAGCATCGTTTATTGTGAAGATTGTGCGTTTTTTTTTATTGGTGCCACGCTAGCCTAGCTGCCCCTGCTGCCTACCAAGCGCTCTAATCGGACATTATTGGCATCTTAAATTGAGCTGTTTTTTTATCATTTTCATTTCATTAGGTATTAAAGTTTTTTTAATAATTGTTCCTTCCGTTATTTTAGTTTAGAACTACGCAAATAAATATTGCGTGGTGCTGGAAAAGTATTTGTTGTAAATCAGTTCTGTTGTGTCTGTCCACCGCCCACCATGGTGATCAAGTGGCTAAGGTACTCGGCTGCTAACCCGCAGGTCGCGAGATCAAATACCAGCTGCGGCGGCTGCATTTCCGAGGGAGGCGGAAATGTTGTAGGCCCGTGTGCTCAGATGTAGGTGCACGTTAAAGAAACCCAGGTGGTCAAAATTTCCGGAGCCCTCCACTAAGGCGTCTCTCATAATCATATGGTGGTTTTGGGACGTTGAACCCCACATATCATGTGTCTGTCCACCGTTTTTCTAGTGATCCTTATTTCATGCTGTATTTGTTCGGAAGTTGTAAACACAGCTGTACTAATTGTCTATAATAAAGGTATGGGTGCATTGCTCTTGTGTTGCAATGCCGACAAGTTCGCAGAAAATAACTTAAGTTTTCTTATATAAGTGAGTAATAATGTGAAGCCACAGATATTTACGATGTTGAAATTTCGTTGGCTTGGTTGAATGCTCTTACAAATTGCGGTAAGTGGACTTGCGATTGACAGCACAGGCTCAGTTAGGACTTCTCTGCAGAAAACTGAACTCCACGATCATGTGCGGTACGTTTTGATGCCATGAGGCAAACTGATGCATTAGACAAAAACTACAGTACGCCTATATTTGCATACCTACTTACTTCTTAAAATTAATGCCACAACCATGCTCGCAAGCACAAGAGGTATGTTACAGCTTACTGTTTACGGTATTCGTAATACTCATGCTGCTCTCAGCATCTTTGCGCAGCTGCCAACTAGTTTAAAAAACTTATTTGACTGTTTAACATACGTCTATACGCAGAGCATTTGTACAGTGTCAGTTTTTATGAAAGTGAACACGCGAACGCGTAGCCCATGCGCTCCGGCGGCTGCTAGCCGCGCGTTCAAGTGGGAGCGATAGCAACAACAGCCTTCATTCCCGCCATCTAGTGGCGAGCAAAAGAACTGCTCATTGACATGGAACCAGCAGAATGACTACGCCCGGCCTCTTACTTAACCGCGTTGAAAGGCAGGTGGTTACTATCTTGCCGCCAGTTCCATATCATCCATGACCGGTTGTTTTGCTTGCCACTAGAGGACAGGAAGAAAGGGTGTTGTTGCTAACGCTCCCGCATGAACGCGCTAAAAGCAGCCACCGGAACGCACGGGCCACGCGCTCGCTTGTTTCCTTTCATGAAAGTTGACTCTGTACGTTTCTTTGTTACCATTTTGTGACGTCTCGTTCAATGGAAAAAAGTACAACACAGTCACTTTCCCTCCACACGCTTCGCATAAAATCGATTCCCATGGTACGTAGGATGTGCCAAGTTTGTACGAGTTCTGCTCGTGAATTATTATTGTTTGTTCGATAGCGTTGAACTCGGTACGTGTTTGAAGTTAGAAATCTTGGAATCAGATGAGGTTCCTACTATGAGCTTACTCACTTTCCTAGCGCTTTCAGTCCTAGAGTTTTTTTGCCGGATAACTTTCATAACTCTTCTGTAAAGCCGTTTACGTCTCATGGCGCACGCGAGTCTCTTGCATTGCGCGTTCAGGTTTAAAGGGACACTAAAGGAAAGTGACAATTTACATCAAGGTCCAAGATCAATGTGTGACTACGTCTAAAGCGACAATATAATCAATAGCTGTATACAGTACTGATCAAGAAATAAAGCATAATGTATTACACGACGGGCACCAGGAGTGGGACATGTCTGCAAATGATCCCGATGAGGTGAAAGCATTTGACTACAATTACTAGTAATGAAACTTGCTTCAATAGCATATAAACCTTCCTCGCTTAATCATAACTGTGAAAAGGCAGCTTCATTGTTTCTGTTTGATTTAAAGAAAATAATGAATGGTGCAGTTGTTTCAAAAGCGTCATTATTGACTGGTTAGGCTGGGTAGGGGTGCCTTATAGCAGGATTCAGTTTGAACTAAGCAAGCAGATTGATTGGCTGTTAGACAGGAGAAAATTGTTTCTTGTCCGTTGTTGCTACTGTGGCTCCCGCCATTCTTTCTCTGCTACTACTGGTGTTGGTGGCTCCGCAGTAAACACTGGCCCATCGGGCGCGGCAACAGTGACGTGAGAAAGACTGCTTTCTGGCGAGGGATCTGAAGTGCGTTTGTGCGATGTGGGCCATTCAAACGCGACTTTTTTCCTTCACCCAAAAGTGGCACTACGAGGCTTCTGAACGGCTATTTCAACCGTCAACATCTACTTAATATCTACCATTGATTGATTGATTCATTTATTGATTGATTGATTTGCATGTGAGGTTTAACGTCCCAAAATAACCATAGAAATACGACAGGTGCCGTAGTAGAGATCACCAGAAATTTGGACCACCTGGAGTTTTTTAACGTGCACCCAAATTTGAACACACGGGCCCACCATTTTCACTGCCATCTAAAATGCAGCCGCCGCAGCCCAGATTTGATCCCGCGACCTGCGGGTAAGCAGCCGAGTACCCTAGGCAGTAAAGCAGTGCGGTGGGCCTATTTACTATTAAAGTAATTTCAAAAGCGCGTTCGCATTTAGACTAGAATAGAGTGAAAGCGGCAAAATCCGCTGAATATTCATTCAGTTTGCCGCCCAGGCGGCCGGAAAACCACCCCTCATGGCCGGCACGAAACGATTGGTCGGAGATTGATTTGTCCGCCACGAAAAACCGGATCGTCTTTTCACTTGATGGCGTCGGTAGCACTAGCTAAAACCGCCTTATGTAAACAGCCGGCCGCACGTTCAGTTTGACGGCGAAGGCATCGGCGGTGGCTGGCATCGGTGTAGATTGGTGATGACACGTGTAGCACGAAAAAGCTTCAGGGCCTGAAAGAGCACACTTTCACCGAGAACGATTCACCCACCTGGTGTGAATTAAGATCGCCGTAAACACTGGATTTAGAAAGGGCAGCAGAGAGCTGGCATGCCTTCACTTGGCGCACATTTGCACAGCTGCCTCATTCAACCGCTGCCGTTACGTATCGTTTCTGTTAGCGGAAAAAATAGCATAAATTCATAACCAGGCAAAGGCGGTGACTTTGAAACCATGTAGTACGTAGGGCACAGCTATTGTGAACGCTTTCGCCACGCGCAGACGTGGTATTCAGGCCACTCTGGCATTTGAAATTTGGTGAATTGGTTTCGCAGGTATGAATTTGCAATAAGAGCTACCGAGTGAGGGTTGCCGCTGTGCTCATGTGGATTAAGGCCAGCGCGCGGCACAAGCAATGCCACACGATGACGAGGTTGGGTGTGCGTATAGGAAGCACGAAAGTGCTTCCATTTGGAGCTTGGCAGCGTGTGCCTACAGATGGCTCCTGTGGTGGTGTCGATATGAGGGACTACATCGTGGTTCCTAGCTTCCCCGTGGATCCCTCGTGGCGATTCGAACGTGAGCGACTATGCATTCGCTGTACCTTCTGTTTTTTGTGTATTGTATTGAAATATTGTGTAAGGTTACTAATCTGCTCACTAGTAATGTATTAGAATCGGCTGTCGATATTGGCTTTGAAGAAGCAGTGAAATAATGTGTACGTACACGTTTTTTTTTTGGCCAACTAAGTCTGCGGTAACAGCATGTTCCTGAAGTGTCGTTCATCTTCAGAGTCCTTTCGGTATTTTTCTAATAGTTAGGACATCAGCAGACAACAAACAAACAAACTGAGCCAGTCACGCCAGTATTTACGGATTTACAAACATCGTGTCAAATTAGGCTAATAGGGCACGGTCAATATCAAATGAGAAATACGTTTATTTTTTTTTGTTCGTGCTCTTCACTGGAGTACACAAAATTTGTGATACCGTCGCATTTGGCAGTGTGTGGAGTCTTTTCTTCTTCCCGAGAACGACACTTAACCACTCCAGCTGGACCACCTCAGTATCAGCCATGACTTCGATCACGCTTCTTTTTTGTGGCTCCTAACTAGTCAAAAACTCCACAAATATTATATTGAACATCATGGTAATTATTCAAAAAATATTCTAGAATTCTCTCTGTTGCTTCCACTTCCGAGGTGCTTGGGAAAATTCGTTGTAGAGCAATGAATTGACCACTTCTGGGCCGAAAGAGCTAGGGCGTTCAGGTTCATATAGTATAATGCTTAGTATTACTGCTGAATGGATGGTCGATTGCGCATATAGGATAAGCATAGCATTATTATAGCATGTAATCAACTCTCCTCACACTTTCGGCTTTGGACGGATGATAGATGTTAGATAAAATTGGAGTCTACTCACCGGACAGGCAGTTGTGTTTTTTCCTTTGGCACAGATAATGGGAGCACGTCTCTGCACGGGCCACCAGTTCGCTCTGGTAATTGAGGATCTTAGCGATGGACGTAGACAATATTTTTTCTTCATGGCATACACTTGGGCATACATTGCCCTCTGGCTAAGTTGATCCGCAGCTACGAAGATGGACAAAAAAAAATTAAACATGAGAGCTCCACTAAGTCTCCCCACCACACTAATGTGTGCACTATTTTATACTTGTTATCATCTCATTAAAACAATAGTCGCAAGAGAACCAAACCGCCAATCAGCCCCGCGTATCGCGTACTACGTCACCATACGTCAACCATTCGCGTGTGCCCGCTTCAATCTGCGCGGACCGATTTTATCCTCGGGAAGCAAGGCTGAATCCTTGCTTCTATCGAGAATCCTCCATGGTCATCTGAGTTCTGATGGCGAAGAGATCCGAATCACATCACATGTCACGTGACTGCTGACCTATCCGCGATCACGTCCGTCGTGTGAATACAGCTTAAGTGGCTATGACGGGGTATATATAACAACAATGCGATTTTATTTCAATACTGAAGCACTATGCACACCCTGAGAAGCAATACTACGCAATTACGAGTCGTTAAGAGTGCTCTTAGCCCTTTAAATATAGCTAACGTATACGTAAGCTCTTTTCCATGATTGTTTCTTCGTGTATGCAATTTTAAATTTAAGAACCATAGATGGGTTGGCGGAACATATGCCCTTCTTACTGTTTTCATACTGTTTTAATGCAAACTTTCTTACCAAAAAACATTTATATCAGATGGGGCGGGTTATCAGCGAATTCAGCGCGCGCTCTTCAATAAAAGGCGTGTTTTTGCAATTATTAGCTCTTGAATTTTTCCAGACTTCATGTACATTGCCTGGAACACTGTGCGATAAATAGCGTTGACGTTTTCCTAGAAGATATGCAAATCTTTTTCAAATAGCCGGAATTAACAAAACTAATAAAAATCTGTTCAAGTTTTAATTGAGAGAATCATAGGAACGTATAATAACACTCCTATAAAAACAAACAGTTTGACAAGAAAAAAAATATTGAATGTTCTTTTTCGTGGCACGTGACACAACAAGTGAGGACAATATATTTTTCTTGTAATATAAGTACAAGAGACAGTTTTTTTTTCTTTTCAGTTTGTATAGGCCTTTGAGATAAACAAAAAAGCACGTTATTGTTTTTTTTTTCAGGTTTTAAAGCTTGCGAATCAAAAATGAAGGCGCGTTTTTTTCTTAAAATCATTTTGCAGATTTTAGCAACTTGATTTACTTCACCTAGAAAACTATGCGAACGAATGCGCTGAAATTTTTTTTCTGAATATACGTACCTGAATCTCTTACAAAAGCCTGAATTGAAACATTTGAAAAGAATATTTGAAAATCTCCTTCACGGTGCGTGACAAGTTTGGTCAATATTTTTTTTTCTTGTAAGATATTTATAGAAGCCAGATTTTTTTTTGTCAGGTTGTATGAAAATAAAACGCTCATACCGTATTCGGTTCTTTTTCAGAAAAGGTTTGCCGAATTTCGTGCACCAAAATAAAATTAGGTGCACCTCCAAAAGCAAGTGAGAAAAGCTACAGGATCAAAATTGAACAGGGTGAAGTCTACTAGCTCTTCTACTAAGCAGGCAACATTTTATCAGGAAACATGATGCAGTTCCACAGATATAAATCTGAGATCAGCATAACCTGTTAACACCAAGATAACCCCTCCTTTCCGGCGGGGTCAACAAGAGAGCGTCCGGACAGGAGGTGTAGTCGACGAAACGAATCGCAGCGGGGCTTGATGGTGTTTTTAAGTCTTTTCTCGCAGTGGCAAACATATGAAGAGAATGAGATTTATTAGGCTGTCACCGTCATGTCCAATATATGCTGATTGGAGCATATATACAGAAAAGCTGTAAATATAAGCAGCCCTGAGTAAAAAAGGTTCGAAGCACGTGATTGGGGATTCCGATTTGCCCCCCCCCTCTTTGTTGCATCTGCTGCATGCTATCTGAGATCTTTACGCCGTGCGTCATTCGTACTCCAGGATACCAGTATCAGAACACAAGCGCACGCACCATTTGTTTAACTGCATGAAAGACCACATGCGACAAAATCAATACCATGCTAGACGGGGGCCGTGCTGCACGTTGACCGCGCTGCACTTGCGTCGTGTCGCTCGTGACTCGCACTGCCCACCGTTTCACACGTCAGCTGGAACGCTGCGGCGGCTATAGCGACTTCCTGCAGTGGATGCGTTGTCGTTAAGCAACAACTCAATGGTGTTACTACCCAGAAGAAATCATTAAGGCGATAGCATTTAATGTTGCAAGCACACGTCCATGCGCCCATTAGTCCGTCCATCCCTGAGTAAGCACGGTGCCAGGTGGCCACCAGTGTGCATCCAACAATGCCGTGGCATCAATGGTGTTGATGGAAGCAGATAATAGTTCATTTACAGATAGAGATGTGGATCTAGTGAGTCGGAAGGGCCTGGCCTTCGCAAACACCATAAAGGATGCCTAGTCCGTGATGAATATTGCTGGCGGCGGAAGCCCGGGCTCTAGCCACCAATACCTGTTTGGCTTTGGAGGTTGGAACAGCCGTGCAGCACCGCTTCCCAGTCCTCTCGTGTGTGGTGGTCGGGTGAGATTAGAGGGGCATGCCCCCGCCACGGTATAGGCGTCAAAAGACTCCCCCAAACAGTGTGGGCTTGCGCCGGATAAGGCTGAAGTGAAATATTTCAGGACTGCCCGGGGAATTTTGCAGTGTTGGTGAAGTAGCGAAGAAGGCCGAGCTCCTCCACCCTGCTTTCCTCGAAGCTCACGCATTTTGCTATATCAAAAAAAAAAACGAAGAAGATCGCGTAAAACGGGTGCCGTTTCGTCCGACAACAACACTCGTTATCCGGCTTGCCTGCGTTGTATTTTTTGGAACTCGGCACTGCCCACTTCCACATCAACAGTGCAATGTAACGCTGAAAACGCGCATTTCGGTCGTGACCTGAGAGTACCGGACGCGGCAACAATGCCGAGACAGGGATTCAACACAGATGACGATTATGATTGGGGGATTGAAAAAAACTCCCTAAAAACTCCCTATGCACTCGATTTTTTCGTAGAGAGTAACGTAGCATCGCTATGCCCAACATTCCCACAAATTCAAAAATTGCAACACCGAGTGGCGGTTGAAGAAATTGCGTTTTCAGAATGGACAAACATTGCCGGCTTGCTGTCATCACTGTAGGTTCATAATAAAGTGTGCCTTTTAGATCAATGCGAAAGGTAAGAAGATTACTTACCCTCCGTCCATCCCGTACCGACCACCGTGAGAGGCTTTCCCATGACGTGAATATCTCTTTCCGGCAGGCACACCGGTTTCATAATGCTGTTGAATTTCAGTTTCAGTGGGAGCTGTAAAACCCGAGTGTTCCTTATTTTGCATAGAGGCACTAAATTATTTTTGCGCCTGGCACTGACATGCCCACGCGCACCGTGAAATACTCTCGATCAATGAGAGTGACACTGTTATTCCTGAGCACACATAATGCGTTGAGTTATTAAACTAGCATTACAGAATTGTATGTAAACAGAGAAAAAATAGCTTCATCACATGGCACGGCTTGTGAAGCCGTTCCTTTTTCATCGCTCATGAACTTTAGGGAGTCACGAAAAAAAAAAACTCGCATACTGAACAAGTAACATAAATAAATAACGAAATGAGTAGAGGCATAAGCAAGTCAGTGAGGAGTTTATGTATAGACAATTATTTTAGTCAGCAAGAAAGTATTCAAAGGAGTAATGAGGTAGCTAAATAAGTGGGTCACTGACTAACCAATAAGTGAGTGAGTAATTGAGTGACTCAGCAAGTAACTGAGTAGACTAAGCAAGTAATGAGTTGCAAGCAACAAAGTGAATGAAGTGAATGAGAGTGAGTCAATCAGGAAGCAACTAAGTCTTAGAACCGAGTGTATTACTAGGGAGGCAACTGTCCCAGATAATTACTAAGCCAAGAAAGAAAGTGAAGAAGTCGGCAAGTAGTGAAATCAGGGGTGAGTTAGCCGGCAGCGAAAAAGTGAGTGGTAGTGATTACGCTAGCTAGCAAGTAACAATTTAAATAGGAAATATTTTCTTTCATATTCTCAGTATGCGTTCAATGGTACACTCACAAAAATGTTGAGGCGCCTTGGGAAACATTATGCCACGTTGCACCTTACAAACATTTCACAAACTTGGCTGTACCTGTCATCAGCAGCAATGCCTCTTCATACTAAGACCATTCGTTTCCTTGAGGTTCCCGTTGCTGGAGCTGAACCTTTGTGTTATATGGCGCTCATTTGCTACATTTCACTTGTTGTGATGGCGATGAAGGGTTGGTCATTATATTCGTATATGCTCTATAATGCGCTTACACCAACACAAAAACTCAATTTTAAAGCAAAGGTAAAACAAAGAATGCGATAGCAACAAATTAGAATTTTACATCCAGAACAGCAAGTGGCCAGCAACGTGCACCCCGCTTCTTAAGCGCAAAAAACACACGCAAAGCACGCAAAAAGACGAACGCTAAATAAGAGGTAACAGCGCGACAATTCCAGCAATCCTGAAACACAAAGAAGGACAAACGCGAAAATCGCTGCAGAGAACATTGTTGGCGCAGACAGGTTATCAGCTTTTGGGCGGCCCACTCCATGTATTGTTTTTGCATGACCAAAGCCTTTACTTTGTGTCTTCCAGCTTGCAGCTGACTCTTTTCTCGAACACGCCTGCTGCAACGTGGGGACATCTTCGTACGGCCTTCAGCTTCAACGCTGGCATTGCGGTGAAAACTCAAGGTGTACCAGCGTCACTACTGCGACGGGATATAAGCTTACGATCTCGGGCGATAACGCCCTGTTGGGCGAAACACAAGTCGCAGGACTGGGGTGACAGCCTTTAAAGTGCGCATTGTGCTATCTTAAAATTGACAGCTTACACGCCGAAGTACCTTCAAGCTTTGCGCCAGCTGTACATGGCGAATATAAATAACTCTCAGTTGGTGAGCTGGAAGACGTATGCTGTGCTGCAGAGTTGCATGAGACAGCGCGCTGTGAAAAGGGGGCTCACAGGTGTGAATGCACTGGCGCATGGCTTCGAAACGTTTGCTCCTCATTCCGATCGAAACGAGAGCTCACTCTTTGGATGTAGAAGCTTACTTTCAGTAGTGCGATGTCGTGGAGTTTGTCTAGAAAATTTCCAACGAATCTTGGGTGCATCACCATCTTCGTCGCTTGCAGAACGTTGCCTCGAAACGTTGTGGAGTTGAACCACACGGACACTTTTTTAGGCCTAGGGCTGCAAGCGAAAGACAGGCGAAGCAGATGCGGTCTAAGATTTGATAGCTGGTATAGTAGCCAGTTGTACACCATTCCTGAACTGAAAATTCTTATATCGCTATTTCTGTTTCCTCGTACAGCCGTTATTTCAGGACCTTGGACATAAACCACGTCCCAATTTTTCTATTTTAAGTCATAGCTTTGTCTAGTTACGCGTATTACTGGCCAAAAACAGAACATTTTAATTACGATAATTGTTTTTAACGTGCACATTGAAGTTTGTAACATCATTTAGATATACAACTTTGTTTCAGTATTTCAGCTGCACGCCTGATGACGAAAATGCAGCAATCAGAAGTTCCTTGCCATAACAAATAACTAGCGATATAGCTCTTCATTGCTCCAGCCCTGTGCTCCTTTTGCGCAGTTACTTAAAGGTAGCCAGTAACAAAAATAGCAGGTCTGTAAGCTTGAAGCCCCCCCCCCCCTCCTCCTATACTGGCCAGTTCTAGTATTTTTTTTTTTGTTGCCAGCAATGTAACTGAGCTTACGTTCGATGTTTCGATTATTCACACTTTCGTTACGTTGTACACAGTCCTCTAACAGCACCTGATTTGACATAACAAGCAGTGTTACGTCAGCAAGCATAAGTCATAGATGAGCGATAAGGTAGTGATATGCCATCAAATATTCATAACCTGTGCGGTGAAACTGTTTACCCCAGAACTATTTGAAGTTTAGGGAACGATAATAAAAACATCTGTTAGGTTTTCTAACAACTGCCAAGCATTTTGCGAGAACATCTGTTATGCCTATATAACAATGCTTTAGCGTACTTGATTGTTTGCAGTGCCTCTCAGGACAGAGAAACGCCAAAAAAAAACATAGGCAGAACAGTCGATTATGTTTGGCTGGTATACATGATTCATGGCCTTATAACTGTTAAAGAATGCATGAAAATTAAGTATTGTTAGAGAGATACACGCAACAAGCGTTAAAGCTTAAAACAAAATTCACTGAAAATGTGTCGCGTTTCGCCTTAAGCACGAAAAAAAGTGTGCCACAACAAGGAATTCGAATCACATGCATGGTGAGGCTATCAGCTAACTCCTTTGACTATGTCAGAGAACAACAAAGAACCGCAGATGGCAGAGATTTCCAAAGTTTTTCAGTGCAATGACACTCATGAGCTATCACACTGTTCAGACGTAGAATGCAAGATATATAATTGTTGTTGTTGTTGTCGTTGTTGTTGTTGTTGTTGTTGTTGAATCTCGTGGAACGTGAAAACCGGCGAGGAAACCACGCCTGCTAGAGCGAGTGAAGCAATCTTTCAGATTTGTTTCTCGTCATTCTTACAATGAAAGCATAACGCGCAGAAGTGCATATGACCAGCCGCCTCGTCGGCCGTGAACATACGCCAAGCATACCAATTGCAAGTTAGTCACTAGCGCATCTTTTAGAAGTCAGTGCAGCCAATTAGGCTCGCGATCAATCCCCTGGCCAAAAAGGGGATGGGGGCCACTTGAGGTTTAACCCTTCCCAAACTATTTCCTCCCCAAATGAGTACTCTCCTCATAATTCGCGGTTTCCCCGAATTGCGAAAACGTTCATCAAGTACGTCCACTGTCTCAACCTCTTTGAACAAAAAACCGTACAATGAATGATCTTTATTGCACTCATATCTTATACAAAATAAGCATAAACTGTATGGTCCTATAGTCGACGGCTAGTGCGGGTTCCATTGAAAGTATGCATTACTAAAACTGTAATAGTTCTAATTAAAAATAAACAGAAGTGAACAATTCAAATTTGATATCATCATACAAGAAGTAATGTTTATCTGTTAACAATAATCACTTGAATTCGATTAAACATACAAAAAAGGGAAAGTACATAACTTGTAGTAAACACAAATATTTGGTGATTAGTGGCGTACAGAACTGAAGGATGATACTTGTAGTTGCAAGTATCAATAGTAGTTCTCTTATATGGCTTAATATATAGAACAAGGGTATTGAAACATCTTTCAAAGAAAACAACTTTCAAAGAAAACACTAAACAGATAAAGGGCAAGATATATACATAATGAAAAATTACAACCTAAAGTATCAGTCAACTCAAGCAGAGAAAATTGCTTCAAAGCAGTATTTTTCAATGATCTGGAAAAGTTCTGGGTATTCTTCATATAACGCGGTATGCCATTCCAAACTTTCACTCCGGTATATTGTAGTAGACGTTTGCTAAGGGCGTTTTTTATGGGCGGTATATTGAAGTTGTTAAAGGTTTGGTTCCTCGTTTGGCGTCGGGGAATACACAGTAATGAAATTGGGAATGGTTCATTGTTCCTCACGAAACTGTTAATATATGTAGCTAATTTTAGTTCCCACACAAAATCAAATGGTAAGATCTTTAACCTAGAAAAAAGTGGTTTGCTATGTTCGTAGTAAGGTGAGAAAGTAATCATACGTATAGCCCGTTTTTGCAGCCGTCGTATTGGCTCAAGATAAGTCATACGTCGAACCCCAGGACTCTACACAGTACAGAAGGTGGCAGTTAACTAAAGCAAAATACAAAGTCCGCAAAATTGTAGTGTCCAAATATTCACGTGCTTGCAAAATGACGTCACAACTCGAAGCGAGTTTCGAGCTCACTGCTTCCATTTGACTCTGCCAATTTAAACAGCTGTCTAGAACAGCACTATAGGCAAGTAAAAGAATCAGTACATTCCAGGGAGCAATTATTGATATAGAGTTATTGATGTAGAGTGATGTATATAATGTGGAGTAGGATTAGTACGGGAGTGGAACAACATATATTTTGTTTTTTGGCATTGATGATAAGCCTGTTAGCTGTAAACCAATCGGAAAGCTTAGCTAGTTCAGTGTTCATCTGTTCCTCTATGTCTGACAGATTTTTACCGGTAATAATGAGGGCAGTGTCGTCAGCATACATAAGCATCTCGGCAGTTCTTAGTACTAGAGGAAAGTCATTTATGTGAAGTAAGTAAAGTAACGGGCCTAATACAGAACCTTGTGGCACACCTGTTTGAATGGACTAGAGAGAAGAAGTAACGTTACTGATAGTTACCATCTGTTGTCGACCTTGAAGGTCTCTCTGGGAAAAATTCGACATAGTGTTGCGAAAACCATATCTATGTAATTTGTAATGTGAGATGTCATGGTCTACTGTGTCGAACGCTTTTCTGATGTCCAGAAAAACCACTGCAGCGAATTTGTTATCTTGGAGGGCAGTATTTAAAACTTGGCTTAGTGTGAGCACTGCTGTACTTGTCGAGCGCATTGGCCGTAAGCCATGTTGGTGCGGACATAACACATGATATTTGCTCAAAAGGGAAAGCATACATTTCGAAATTATTTTTCGAAGATATTGTTAAGCACACTCAGTACAGAGATCGGGCGGTAGCAAGAAAGATCGGACCTATCTCCCTCTTTGTAAACAGGGGTGACTTTGGCTATCTTGAGTATTGATGAGTATTGACCGGCATATAATGAGTGGTTGAATAGGTTACATAATGCTTCTCCAAGTAAATCAATGTTCTCTTTTATAACGCACGCTGGAATCTCGTCATGACCCGGCGCTTGGCTAATTACTAGTTTACTCACAATAAGCAGAATTTCTTTATTCTTTATGTTGTTTATAACGAAGCTATTTGGTAATGTTAGTTCGTAGAGCGCTTTCTTAGGAAAAGGCAGCATTTTGGCTAAGGACCAACATTTGTAAAATAAGTATTAAAGTCGTTGACAGTGTCCTCAGTGACATTGTCAGGTAGCGTTTTTTCAGCACGAGTACGCCCGATTGGTTCGTTTGTTATTTGCCAAGTTTGGCGCGAGTTACCAGAAGCTTGCTGAATAAGCTTCAAAAAACTACCCACATTATAGTCATAGCTACTAAAAATGTACCAATAGTAGGGTCAAGCCCACTGTATTAAAAAAACAAAAAAACGACAGATTCCACGTCCCTTGCGAATCGATGTTATGTCAAGATGAATGTGATGTAGTTTTTTTTTTTAGTGAAACCATACGATATGACGACGATAAGGATGTGTAAAAATGAATACACACAACATTTGTTGAATGTCGCTTATGCTTTATATAGCCAGTTCTTTTAGTTCTTCATAGAGTTTCTTAACGCTGCCGATATCAACACGGGCTTTAGCAACACCACAAGCGGTAGGCTTATATGTAGCACTTGTGCTTGCGAGAATAGCAGCCCTGGACACTAATTGTGGTTTGTGGCTTACTAATTGTGGTTTGCCCCTAAGTAATCGTGTGGTACCGAGAGCGCCCAGTAGTAGGTTGCTTGGTAGATAGATGGTATAGATACGCAGACACACACGCTAAATGTATCTGTAGTACGCAAAAAAATCTCCTCCGCATTTAAAGTTCAGTTTGTATAAGACACTAATCACCTAATACTTCGCGTGACAACACTTCGAAGAATAAGTGAGATATGCTGAATTTCACAAGCGTTCTCTACAGGAAAAGTTGTAACGGTCACTAAGGGTGTGCTACGCACGCACACTACGTCAGCAGCCTGTAACGAAAGCCCACAGAGCATCGATCGATCTTCAAACTGCTTTTTAAAGGTCCATCAGACAGGCAGTCTATGTAACGTACTGGTTACAGAGTTGGCAATCAAATTTCGAAACAAGCTAGCAAACACTACTTATGCAGTCCTCTGACTCAGCAAAATAAGTTCAACCTGCTCGCCACTGGAGTGATTCGGTGGCAAATAGTACGTATAGCAGTGAGCACTCTTAGGGTGGAGCCGCGACAACGTGGCCAGTGGTACATTCAGGACGACATGACATCTATTATTAGAAACATGTGGGGCCCGTACTCAGCGATGCACTATTTCCACTGTGAGCGCCGCATCATGGATCTACTTGTTCGTCGTCGGTTAGCCGCATTCTTTTCCTTTGAAGGGATGCATCCTGTATTTTATTAGGTGAACTCGCTGTTTTGAGTTTTATTCAAGAACTACTGCAAGTGTAAAACTTTTTAATCTTCATTTTTTTGGCGCGTGAACGAAATTTCGTTTGGATCATTAAGTGCAGTTTACACCAGCTTGCCGACAGCAATGCGGCCAGCAAATGAATTACAAGTGTATAAGTAACGTGGCCTCATTGTGAGAAGAGCCCCACGGCGGTGGTCTAGTGGCTAAGGTATTCGGCTGCTTACCCGCAGGTTGCGGGATCGAATCCCGGCTGCGGCGGCTGCATTTCTGATGAAGGCGGAAATGTTGTAAGCCCGTGTGCTCAGATTTGGGTGCACGTTAAAGAACCCCATGTGGTGTAAGTTTCTGGAGCCCTCTACTACGGCATCTCTCATTATCTTATGGTGGTTTTGGGACGTTAAACTCCACATATCAATCAATCCATCCATAATGAGAAGAGTGTATCGCAGAGCACGTGCTACGCATGTCGAATGTTTTCAGCGATGTTCGTTGTGTGGCGCTGACAGTGCCATCGGTCCCACTCTCGCACGTTCACCCTCACAGTGCTCATCACTGTACATCATGATATCACTACGGCGGGTAGTTCATTTTTCTAAAAAGTGGCGCCCCTGCTTCGGGTCGAGTGCTGTTATTTTGGGTCATAAACTGCCCTTGCAGACAGCTATGTAGTTTACGTCACACCTACGCTTATGTTGCACAAACTGCTCTTCCACCTAAACGAACACGCCGATGTACCTCATAACACTTGAATCAATGCTGAAAAATGCGAGATAGACACTTACTCAATGGCTGCTTTTTGTGAAACCTATTTCTTTGATGCGTTTGGTCTGCCGACATTTTTATGTACATTGTGACTGCCCTAATGAAACACACATCGCGAAGAAAAATTAAAAGTGTTTAAATGACTTACTACGTATTCAAACAATGCGCCGCTGTCAAAATGACGTTTCTTGTAATTATGCTTCCACCGCATGCGTTTCCTTTGGACGTATTACTATGCACATAAATAAACACCTGCGGACACAGTAAAACAATGAATTGTTAGAAAAAGCCAAAAGATATTTCTCTTCTAAGCTCCAAAAACTTGTAGACAGGTTGTACGTCAGCACCCACATTTCCAACTACGCACATTGACGTTACCTAAGTCAAAACAGTTCCGGCTACACGCTCTACGTCTTTGACGAGCAATAAAAGAGATGATGGCCCTCAATTTAGGTCTATTAGTCTCATGCCACCAATTTTCTACGGGAAAAGTGCACTCTCAAATTACTATTAACTTCGTTCCTGCCGAGCACCAGGACAGAAGTGTACTTGTACCTATTGAGCCAGTAGGTGTCTGGCAGGAGCAATTTTCTGCATACCACAGTGGCAGCAAATGCTCAACCATGCTACCAAGGCTATGGTGGATTAAAGTACGCCCATGGGCCTTCACAGGACGTTATAGGTTCACCTTTCGAGATGAGTATACCAAGAAAGAACCGAGTGCCAGGTCGGTGTACCCCACTACCCGTTGGAAAAAAAACTGGTGCTTTTCTGGTCGGCCCTGAGAATTCAACCAGTACCTCGTGCATCGCAAGAGGACGCTTTAACCATGTGACCGCCGCTGTGGTACGATGTAAAGCGGGGAGCCTAACTGCTGCACACTTGGTAATACATAAGGCTACAAAATATTATTGCTATGATAGTCAGCCCCAGTGTGAAGTAGGCTTGTGGCGCCTCTACTACAGCTGATACTTGTCAGCACCCTATTACTACAACACCGAATAATTTATAGGAACTAATAGACAGTGATCCGAAAGAAAGTATATATGATGTAATTAGTAATGGTAATGTTACTGTCAAAAAGGACGGTGAGCGAAAAGTTAGCCCGTTGCTGGCAAAGACCGAATCGGCGACTTTTGAATGAGGCGTCCAATTTTCAACCGACTGAGCTGCAGCTGTGATTATTGACCCTCCACTTTATGTGATGTATGACCACTAATATGGTATTTACGAGGTATATGGTGGCCAGTTACAGAAGCCTATGTGGTGAGTGACGTGCGCAAGTGTTTAAACTGCGCGCCATAAAAGAGTTTGGAAGTAGAGACAATGACGGAGTTGACCCAAGAGCTGGAAAACAAAATAACAAAGAAAAAAATGACCAATCAAAAGGAGCTGCTGGAGGAATGCTGGATGGAGGAACTTCATTTTAAGCGCTACGGGGGGCACGAGAAAATAAAAGGCGAATTGTGGTGGCCAGAGAAGGCAGGAGAGAGCAGAGAAACGCACAGGCCACGTCCCCCGGTGGTCTTCGCTCCTTCTCACCTTCCTCGTGCAAGTGCCTTATCAGTGAATAGTGTTAGGTGAAGCTCGTTGTCACCCTCGTAGAGGTATTGACTCTTCACTGCTCAACACACGCATACCAATAAACTGTGTGGGGCATCGAAGTTACCGACTGTCACGAGGGGGCGAGGACCAATGAATTTCATAACCTTCTTGATAAATACCTCGAACTGCGGGAGCCTATGCTTGGAGTTACTATCTGCGTTGATTTTGCCACATTGTGTCAAGTAGATGCTTCACCATTTTATATTCTAAAATGCAGCTCGCCAGCTTCAGGTCATCGGATAGGTGTGTTAGCTTTTTACTGGTAAGTGTTCAAACACCTTGTCTTCCTGGCTTCGCAGGAACTGGCCGGTAGTGGGACGTTGCAGAGGTTTAATTCTTCAGATGTGCAGTAATGTAAGATTTTTCTGTAATTGGTATAAAGTACTTCCACGGGAGGGTTCTTTAACCTCTTGCAGTCTCATTGCTAAATTCGAGTAGTGTCTTTACCGTTGTCCATTAGAGATTCTGTTTCCATATTCACCACGGGAGGTTACAACGGCTCGAAAGATCTGTCCCTTGGCTCGGTAGACCCCTGCTCTAACGATGGGTGCACACACGACCATTGTCACGTTGCCTGCCGACGCTTCATGTGGGCTGGATCTGTGCAGTTTGACGCAAGTTTCTAGTGCGAGGATGTGCTCGTTCATTGCAATTAGCCTGTCAACTAGGTCAACAAGTGCAGCCTGTATCTACCACGCACTCTCCGCGAGTCTAGCTTAACTCCCAGCCACTTTCTTATTCTCATCCGTAATGGTAACCAGTGCTTATTTAATAACTTCTCCCTGAGATGTTTTTAAAATGCTTGCCATAACCATCTCTAATAAATACCCTGGGTTATAGGGCGCTGATATCGTTGCAAGATATGGTACAAACAAGAGTGAATGTGATTGAAATAATAGCGGACAAGCCGGAAGCTATTATGATTGCGATGGCTGGTATTAGCGAGAATGCCAAAAATGGTGGCAGAGGGTGGTGATGCTCAAACGTGAAGAGGTAATAGTGAAAATCCATGTGAAACTACAATACACAATTATTTCACTTCGAGGTCCACCGAAATAAATCTGACAACGTATAACTTCCACCGTGCCCAATAAACGTTGCCTCAATATCCGTCTAAGAAACCATGCTTTTTGTAAGGGAGATCTTCGTAAAATACACCATCTACACATATTGCCCTACATTGCTGGCATTGTGGCTGCGCAGCTGAGTTAAACAAAACCGCTGTGGTAAAGAGGCATGGAGACCACCGCTAGCGTGAAATTCCTTAAGTGTATGAAATATTTCATGAAAGCAATAGACAGGTGCGTGAGCCCGCCTTCAATCGTTCTCGCAGATCCTGAGATTTCTTATCTACAGCTTACTTGATTACTTGCTTCATGTGGCTGGTTCAGTTTTTTTAGCCTTCATGTTTCAATATATATCTCACGTTTCTCTCAATAAACTTTTGGTTGTTAGACTGCACTTGAGTCGTGAACTTTGTTGTGTTCTTTGTGCTTTCTTGTGCGCTGATTCTCGTGAGTACGTTCCAACTAGCCCAATTTGCTGCTTTACTGCATGAGGTTTTACTTACGAGCCATGGAACTTCCTCCCTGGTGATTGGTTTTCCGTTATACACCCTACCAACGGGCTCCGATAGGCCACAGCCTGCGACAGATATTATTTATGCCAGTAATGTACCAGGTTCATCAGCATACCAGCCCGAAAGAGCTTGTGTGCACATTTTACAATCGCAACAGCACGAACACGTATTAGCAATAACATCCCTACGATCTGTTTCAGTACATAATAAGGAATTACAGCTGCAGCAAAACTACAGATATTGTTAATACTTGACCACAAATAAATGAAATGAGCGGATGTCCAGAATGTTGTAGCTTGCTGACGGACGTTTAATTGCGAGCATTTCACTCTTTCTACACCCGGTGGGTAATTTTTTTTTTCCACTGATTTCGCGCTTGTCCCGAAATACTATCATTTCAAATTCGCTTCCTCGCCATACAGAAGGCTTGAAGTTTTACATTAATCACATCTTTGAAAAATAAAAGTATAACTTACCTTTCCAATTAATGCACCTGTCCATTCTCTAAAAGGAGGAAAAGAATATGGGCGTCATGCTGGACACTGAATTATTCCGTGTCATCACCACCCCGAGTGCAAATGGCATTTTAGATGGTAATGAAACGTAACAATTTTTTTCGCATTGACATCATGTGCTCTTTTCTCGCTGTTCGCAAAGTTACATAACGGTGTTGCCAGTTGAGACAAAATATGTTGCGTAAGATAAGCTTTACGAGCTCTTAAGCTTGAGGACATGTGTTTCTTTCCCGGTGAGAGTGACTGAACATTGATGCTGAGGAATCAGGAGCGAACACGCATCCCAATTGGTATAATAACTGTGAGTACTCATCAGGGATGAGATTAGCTCGGATTCTATCTGTAAGACCAGTTCCTAGGATTTGCAAGCAAAAGCGCTTCATTATGGACACACCGAGGTGTTCTTGGCTGTTGGTGTCACCGTCGCCGTGATGTTACGTGTATGTATATTCATGTTTAGATATATAAAATGTCACGAAAAGAAAGAATTAGGAAAAATAATTTTCGACAGTGCAGTCGAATGGGATTGCCTCTTGGCTCCGCAGATCGTGGCGTCAGCCGTTAAGCCATGAAAGCGCGCGTCTTTGATATGGTAACAGGGAGCTAATTGCATACATCGTTCACCTTTCGCAAATACACGCGTCTTCTCACCATAATGGTAATATAGTGGGAAGGGCATGCCCGGCTCTCCTCGTCTATGAACGTGCACTTGCCCCGCGATTCTGGCGCGCCTGTGCGTGCGTACGCTTATCTCGCGGTGATTGAGAGTGGCATGTCTCGGACTTTCATTGAAACGATGGCGTTGTAAATACAGAGCGGGTCACGGTCCATTCGCTCGTTGCAGCGTCCCCGCTTACGAAAAGATCCCACTTTTCAAACAGAGCAAAGTGACAACGGTGACACAGTTCCCACTCATCCTGTGTATTATCCTGTGAGGGGCGTCATCCTTGAGGGTCATTCTGTGAATTATCCTGTGAGTTATTTCCCACTCATCTTATGAGGGGTGAGGCCCTACCTGTGAGTATACACTTCGTGTGTCCACTTCTTTTGAGCAGCGTGTCAAGCTCTGAGCTGAGAACATTGTTAGTTCACGCAACTCAAGTGCGCGTTCTCTTCGTACTTTATTGGGCAGTGCGCAGCACGCTTTATTCTGGTTGCGTTTTGCTCGCATGACATTTTGATTTGTTGTCATCACATTCGCAGCTTTACCCTTGATGTGTGAGTGTAACTTTCTAAACTCTGCGTACATGGGGAGAACGATGACGTGGGAAATCATCTTTCTCATGCTTCAAAAGCACATGCCAATTAGCGTGTCTGTTTGAAGTTACCATTTGGTTTGCATTATCAAGGAAGGTTTAAAAAGAGCGGTCCCATAGAATCTATATTAGTATCTGCCCAAATTGGACACTTCGTAAATTGAAAAGTGTGTTCAGCGAAAGTCTGTGGTCATTCGACTGGTAATATAATGCCGTTTTATCTTCTTTCTTTGTTTATGTTATTACTTTCTTTTTCCCTCTTTCAGCAATGACGTTAGGATGAGGGAGAGTAAACGGAAGAAGCCGCAGCTGCGGCGACACCACCATGGCATCACGTGATTGCCGAGAAAGAGTGAGAAGGTGATGCCACAACTGTTATTGTTACAGGACACTGGCTGGGAGACGTGAGTACGAAATATTAAACGCACCATGAAATGCTTTTTGGAGCAACCAAAAAGTGGAGTGACTCATTAAAAATCTTATTGCTTTACAAATTCAACGCCACGAAAAATTTAAGAATCCGTGCGGTATGATCAAAGTTACAAAGATTTGTCACACAATGCAATCATATTCTCTCTTGTCTCGTCCCGACGAAAGCGCTGTATGTTTGTTTGTAGCCTAGAATCTATGGCTCATACCCACTCTGGGGGGTTGGCCAAGAGAACGTATAGTCTCATATGGACGATAACTGCACTATTGCTTACAACAAAAAAAGAGAAAGGAGGTTGTAAAAAGAAAGCAGTATAATAAAAAAATACAAAGATTCAGAGAGTGAGAAAAAAAGCAACAGAATATAGACACCAATCACTTTACCTTATCTAAGCGGGGAAAGATCGGAGGCGACACCAAAAAATGTCATGCACGCCGGCGCTATCTCGAGCACTCTTTTTTTTCTTCGAATATGTGGCTTTTTGAGTGCGATCGCGCGTGCACACGTCAACAAGTGACGGCCTCCCGCAGTGATCTCTCTAACAACCGAGCGCGCCATGTTAAAACCAGCCAATGGCAGAGAGATGGGCTTTGTAGGAGTGATGTTTGATGGTCTTTCGTTGATGGCACATAAAAGATGAAGCAACTTTTAGCTGACTTTGATAATTTATTGTGAACTCCGGGCCGCGTGCTTTGCTATAACATTTCGCTCGCTTGTTCTCGGGAGCCTTTACTACCGATCGGCAGCGTTTTCTGGCCATTTATGTTAAGTGTTTCAGGACCCCTTTAAAAACGTTCACCCTGACACTGTCTTATAGCCAGCAGTGGCTGGAGACTAGTATGGCGCTAGTGCATTGGAAATAGCGCTAATATACAGTTGTTGAAACAATAAAATATACAAATCAATGCCTTACGAAATAAACTTTCTTATCCGCTCATTATTCTAACTTTTCACTTGTACGACCTGCCTACAGTTCACTGTTATTCATGAATGAGTCTCTCAAAAGTAGGGCTTCACAAATCACTGAACAAAAAACAAATATCTGACACAAAACAAGCCTAAATATCTCACGCGGAATGACCTCAAAATAGTTCACCCTTTCATTTCTTCCGTCAACTCTATTCTTTAAAAATATTAACCCCATTTTTTTTTGCTCAAATGGATCAAAAGTTATGAAATCAAGAATCAGAATAACAAAAGCATTCCTTAGATCATATCTTTTTTATGGTAGCTTAGCTTTTAGGTAATCTCACTCCCATATTAAAATATAAGAACGTAAAAGATAACTTACATTTGCAGATATGGAAAGTGTTGTGGTAAGAATCACAAGAGCGAAAGCTTTCAGGAGAAGATGCTTGTGTGCTGTGTAGACAGCCCATAACAAACCCATGGCTTACGTTTTCATGTATTGCAACAGTCCCAAAAAATATCGACGTATCTCGAGACGAAACAGGACACCTGCGAAAACATGAAACCTTTAAGCCTTTCTAAGGGTCATTCAGAAGGCAGTAATGCACAGTAATGCTTCTCATGATGCTACAAAACACTAGCGTTCTAGTCTCAGAGGCTTCCCCGTGCACCTTCTTGCTAGGCCCCCTTAAGCGCCCTCTTTTGAAGCGGAAGAAGAGAAGGAAAGAGATAGGAAGGACAGGAAGGCTAGCCAGTTATCTTATGAAGCGTTTCTTTCTTGTCACTGTGGCGTGCTATAGAAAAATTGATATGCATATGATATCTTTGATTGCATCCCAGCTCGGAAGCATCATGTTGCACATTGCGTTCGAGTGAAGTTGCTTGCTCCTTAACAATTGGTTATTATTTCTTTAAATACGCTACAAGCAAATCATGCTTCTACTCGTCGAGCACTCATTGTGTCGCAACTTGTAGTTCACACCTCGAACAATCGTTCAAACAAGCTCGACGGAGACCTCCTTTTGTCCTTAGAATCAAAGTTCATCTATTTACGAGCATCTTTGCAATAAATATCGTTTGCGTTCACACTAGACGTTCACATTTTCGCCGTGTGATATGAAACGTTCGTCTTAGATATCGGATAGAGGTGCGTTTGCTGCTGGTATATTGATAGAGCCAGTAACAACTTTATGCGAAGTTGTCAAATGAATAGGGGCAAAGCACTCAAGCGCGGTTGTTTTCAGCTCTTATTCTTTATGACCTCTTCGGGGACGCGCACCAAGCCTTGATTGTTACTGTTCTCACAAGATATATATGACGCGCACCAGCCGTTAGAGAGGGGGAGGGGAGGGTGAGATATATTTTACGAACGCATATTCGTGCATAGTACTGCCGAAGACAGCTTAATTGTGGAATTGAATGTACAGAATCGATTGGTTCAAAGACCTCTCTGTAACAGCTTTGGGCCTTGGGTTGCTCTCAACAAGCATGTTTCTACAATCATTAAATTTTCTGCCTGGTTGGCTCAAATTAGGTACCAAAAGCAGCACTCGTATTCAACATATTATTATAATATTTCCCGCGTAAAAGATGTGTACTGTAAGCTTATAAAAGACTGATATTTAGTACTCTATATTCTTGTCTATGTTTCTAAAGATGCTCATTGTTCTTTTGTATAGGATTACGTAGTCACCAAATTTGGGGCCAAGATACATAAAAGTAAGATCTACATATTGTTAGTCATGTACTGTTGGCTACTGTATCAGACAGCGGCACGCGGTATGGTCCCATAATTGCTCATGAGTACAAATAAACTTAGTAAATTATATGCATCACGGTAATTGATTACATGCTGAAAATTAATCAAGTACCATGCGCTGAACTTACAATAAACCGTCTTACCAGGCTTATCAACACATTTTGGCAATACTAGCAGTTCTGCGCTTATAATGAGCTTACTAGAAAACTCACTGCACGGACGTTTAAATGGTATCCATTTGTATAGGCTAACACCGATGCTGTTATTAAACCAAGCAGTATAATGGAATGGGCGATTGGGCAAGCTTGTGATTTATTATTATTATAGGTCAGAGCAATATGTACAAAGAATGACACGGACAGCGACCTTTCAAGGCGGGACATGGCGCAAACACTAGTGCATGTCTTGTTTATATATATATATATATATATATATATATATATATATATATATTTATTTATTTATTTATTGAGGTGAAGAAGAGGGGCCGCAGCGGCATTTCTCGTCGGCGCCTCAGGGGCATCACCATCACCATAAGCTCGTGCTTCCTGCGCTTGGCCAGACAGACGCTGCTGTATTCGTAGCTGCCTTTTTCGCCTGTCTGGCGAAAATTTTCGCCTATGGTGCGCTTGGCCGGATGCTGCCTATGTATTCGCAGCCGCCCTTTTCGCCGCTGAACTATTCACCGCTGTTACAAAAAACGGCGACGCCAACACGGGCCCGAAGGCGCCACGGCTCCGATCTCCGCCGGCACGGTCACCAGCCGTTTGGTAGCGTAGGTTTCTCAGCCCGCCACTGCTTCTGCGCAGAGCTGATAGATGAGCGGACGAAACGACGGTGAGTTAATCAAGGTTTATGTACAGCATATATACAGAGGCGTTACAAATTCGGCACTGGGGCCGACAGCTTAAAGACCGGAAGAGCCGAGCCCTCCTCTCTAACACATGGGTCTCCTGCTTGCGACGCGCCGCAGGGCTTCTTTTGTACGCACCGGGAGGATTCTTTGAGTAACCAAATGTCCAACCAGAAGCGCCGCTGGCCGTGAGGTCAGAATCCTCCAGTGGGGTTGCCGCTAGGCCGCGTCATTCTCATCGAATCCGGAGTCGCTGCGCTGTACGTGGCTGCACCCAAGGCCGAGTCACGTCGCCACGCATTGCGTCAGACTCGCCAGACAGGAAGGCGCCGATTGCTTTGACGGACTCACTGTGCATGCGCGACAGAAAGGCACCACTGCGTGATGACGCCATTGAGTTGTTCGCGTCAGGCGGGCTCGCGTGCTGGCCTTGACACAGATTGCCTTTTTCAGAGGCATGGACATTCGGTGTGGACTAGCAGGCATAACAGCAACCCTGCCGCCAGACAATGCGCCGGAATGACGAGCTGCTTCCACGTGGCTCGGATGTCAGGCTCGCTCGTTTGCCAGGTCCTTCCAGGTTCGCCTCCAGGGCCATGAGGATAATGTAGCTCCAGACTCTGTTCCGGGAACACATCCCATTCTTGGGGACGGATCCCAGCTCCACTGGCTTGTCGCCACAACATGTCGACCAGCTTCGCTCGTCTCTTCTGACGATCTTTGGTCTCAGCACTTGTCGATGGTCATGCAACTTGTCAAGAACGGTTCGACAACAGACAAGACACGACACAAGAAAGTGCCTTCGGTCACCCGACAGAACACCAGACAAATTATATTACAACATATACCTAGCTACGTGTCTATAGGAATTTCGTTCCCTCTACATCAAGAGGCACATGTGGGACACAAGACTTTTAAAATGAGAACTCAAATTTTCACACGTACAACAACGTAACGAAATAGAATACAACATAAAGTTGGCTCCTTGAGCTCACTATGGACGAGAGTGCTCAGCTAAGACCGTGATGAGGACAAAATTTTGCCCCGAATCGCCAGCGAGAAACCGAAAGGTGGAGAAGGTACTAACTAAACGCACGGCTCAATGCGTCTGCATTAGTGTTTTGTAGCGAACATCAAAGTTGTGCCGTTAGAGTACCATGCTCCATCGCAGTAACCGGCCCCTTTTAGGCGACGATAGCTATGCGGTACCAACAGCTGCTCATACTTGCGACGTTGCATAGGGAAACAACGATACGGCTTGCTACGGATCGGCTCCTCACAAGTTAGCTCGATATAGTGTTCGATCACCGCCGTGTTTCCGGGACGGTCCGAAAGCACGTCTTCAAACTCAGAAACAATCATCCTCAGGTCCTCCTTCTGGACTTCACTTAACCTAGGCTCTAGGTTCAACTGCTCCAAGATTACTTCTGATCCGCTTTCGATTACATCACTAGAACTCAAAATTTCTACTTCCTCTTCCTCTGAAGCCCACAACAGCTGATTTACGACCACTTGACGTTGAACGTATGGTTTCATTAAGTTACTGTGGTAAATTTTGATCCCGGCTGCGGTGGCTGCGATTCCGATGGAGGCGGAAATGTTGCAGGCCCGTGTACTCAGATTTGGGTGCACGTTAAAGAACTCCAGGTGGTCAAAATTTCCGGAGAACTCCACTACGGCGTCTCTCATAACCATATGGTGGTTTTGGGACGTTAAACCCCACAAATCTATGTGGTAAATTTTGTTCAGCCGCCTTCCTGATTTCACTTCATAATTGGTATCAGAAAGCTTCATGGGTGCCTCCCCCTTGTCCATAGATTTCCCCGCTCTCTGACAAGTGTCGCATGAGCGTACAATGTTTTCGATATCCTTCCAGCATTTCGGCCAATACAACTCAAGGGAAACTCTAGCCTTGGTCTTTTTTATGCAGAGATGCCCGGCCCACGCGTTTTCATGCGCCAGTTCCAATAGTTGGCGACGATACTTTTGTGGCACCAAGAGCTACTCATACCTGCGACCTTGGGCATTTGCGTAGCTCCGATACAGGAGCCGTACTTTCTCATAAAAAAAAAACATTCTTTTCCTGTTTCCAAAGTTTACGCTTTCCATTAGCGCTTTAATGGAGACGTCCTCACGCTGCTCTCGAATGAGCGTTTCTCGATCAACCCTCGACAGCTTACTCCAACTTTCCGCTACAGGCGAGAGCGTTGCACCCCTCTCGCTCTGACTCAATGGCGCCATGTCGTCTACCCCTGCTACGGAAACCGCGCCAGTCGCTTCGGCGACGGGACGCTCGAGTGATTGCTTACATGACTCACACGGAGAATTTCCTCTCTGAGGTTCTGTCGACTCGCTGCCAAGGTCACTTGATGGTTCACCACATTGAACAAGATCAAGCTCCTGCCAAAGCTTCCACTCTTGTGATCGCGTGATGGCCATGAACGCTAAGTAGGAGAACAATTTACCCCGCTCTTTGAGAAGCTGCTCTGAGTTTGTAGAGAAAAGATAAGGAAAACTATCGGGAAGTGCGACAGACACAGCCGCTTCGGTGCGAAAATTACCGAACGGGCCTTCAATGACAACCGTAGCGATTGATAAGCAAGCAACCTGCTTCTCGGCGACTTGCCTAATCCACGCGCATTTTTCTGTAAAGTCATCTGGAGACACCAACGAAGGATGGACAACGTCCATCGTTGCCGCTGAGTCTCGAAGAGCTCGACACCTTTTCCCATTCACACTGATTTCTCGGAGCTATGGCTCTAAAAATCGAATGTTCTTTTCCGGTTCTCGGATTGTTGCAAAAGCAAACTTTTTCCTACAATTTATTGCGATGTGTCCTTCCTTTTTGCAGTTGTAGCAGATTCGCGGCTTCCGTTTGTTTTCCGATTCTCGGATAGTCGCAAACTTTTGCTTACAGTTTATCGCCATGTGCCCTTCCTTTCTGCAGTTGTAGCAGATTCGCGGCTTCCATTGGCAAGGTTTCTTTGAAAAGCCCTTTTTCCTTTCATCCTCTTCATTGCGCACTTCCCTGCTATGCAACTTTCGGTGAGCATAATACTCTTCAGCTAATTCTGCTGCCTTGTTTAGCTGTACTTC